CTAAAACAGGGGGAAAAGGGAAAGGCAGGACAGGTTTACAGGCTTGTGCGGGAGCCCCAGTGAGCCCCAGGACAGCCCCAGGCTGTGTTTCTGTCTGTGTCTGTGTGACCTGAATATGTGTTGGGTAAGTCTTGGCATCCTTCTCTGTCTCAGCCTTCTCTTGGAGGCCAGGCTTCTCCCCTTCTCTATCTCCATCATCTCCTGCACCTGAACTGCAGACGGTTGGTGCTGAGGCCTGGACAGTCAGAGTGACATTGATCTAGCAGTTGTTCATTCAGGAAAGACTTGAAGAATAAATTTACATAAAAATCCTAATAAGAATGGGACATCTGCCATAGAATTGGGGGCTTCAGGGCGTGGGGACCAGGGCTAGGAAGAGTCTAGGATGTGTTTCTAACTTAGGCCCCCTGAACCTCACCACATAGAGGGCCAGGCCAGGGAACAGAAGGCAGTGGTCAGACATGGGTCTGAGACAGGGACATAAGGGAGAGGAGTAGAGTTGGCAAGGTGGTAAGATTATTTACGACCCTTGTTCCTTGCCGTGCCAAAATATTCAACAAAGGCAACCTACAGAAAGGATTTGCTCTGTCCACAGTTCAAGTGCTACAGCACATCATGGTGGCAGAGACACAGGATGACTCAAGCTTGAGAAGGCTGGCTCCCTGTGTTGGCAGTGAGGTAGCGGAGAGCTAGACAGGAGGGAGAACTGGTCTTCAGCTTTTAAGCCCTGCCCCTGTACTCTACAGCAGTCACCTAGGCCCCATGCCCTAGAGGTCTCATAATCTCCCAGGAGAGTACCAGCAGCGGGGACTGAACGTTTCAAACTGTGAATGGAGGGTGAAGAGATGGAGGGACGATAGGCCTTGTCAGTGTTCTATTGCTGTGAACAGATGCCATGATCACCAACTCTTATAAAGGACAACATTTAATTGGGACTGGCTTACAGTTTCAGAGGATCAGTCTATTATCATCATGGCGGAAAGCATGGTAGCATCCAGGCAGACACAGTGCTGGGGAAGGAGCTGACAGTTCTACATTTTGATCCACATGAAGGAGGAGACCCTGTCTTCTGCACTGGGTAGAGCTTGAACATAGGACCTCCCTGTGGGCCAGGCATTCAAACACACAAGTCTATGGGGGCCAAACCTATTCAAACCACTACACCCTAGACATGCTTCCTGAGGTGGTCTTACGGGCTGATGAGAGGAAACGCATGTGAGCTGGGGCCTGGGTATCCCTAATTAGTCAGGGGCCACTGAGAAAACAGCCGACACCTACAAACTGGGGGAAGAGATGGTATCTTAGCAAAGTGACTTTGCAGGGGTGTAGGAGGAGGCTTAGGGAGCCAGGGGTGATCGCTGTGCAGCACCCTGAAACCAGTAACCAAGGCGGTGGTGACACTTGGTTCTAAAGAGAAGACACAGCCGTGGTTAAGAAACCCTGAGGCAGAGGAACAGGGTGAGTGCTCTAGGCTGGGTTGTAGAACTGGGTGTGAGGGAGGGAAGGGAGGCTACAGGTACACCCAGTGTTTCTTCTCTGGCACCTTGGCCAGACCCACCCAGAGGAAGGAAAGGGAGGTCCTGGATGGAATCCCTGCAGGGCTTGCTAGATACATGGACACAGTGTTGTAGAGAGGAGAAGGGAGTCGATTTAGACAAGCCAGCCAAAGCTATCATCACTGTGTCAGAGGGAAAAAGAAGCTCTCTGGTGCCCGCCTTGTTCCTCCAGACACTAGAGCATCTCATTATCCTGGCTAATGGCTCACTGTTGGCTCTGTTCCAGCAAAAGTCTTTGAAAAATACTCATCTGTGACTCCTCACAATTGCTGGTAACATTGATATTGTCATTGTCACTCCCAATTTGGGGGAAACTAAGGCAGAGTGGGGTTAAGTGTTCTCTCTCTCTCTCTCTCTCTCTCTCTCTCTCTCTCTCTCTCTCTCTCCCACAGAGCCTAATATAGTTTTTTGCTTCCCAAGATTGGCCCCATACCTTGATGACTATTCCCAGCCTCTGTGGCCTGTTGGAAGGTCTGGGAACCAGTGTCAGGGGAGGAGTTTAGCAGGCATCAATGGTGGGACAACACCCAAGCTGCACACAACAGGAAACCTGTCTAGTCTCAGGGTGGGGAGAATGCCACATGACTGCAAGAAGAAAGATGGAGAACATCCTCTCTCCCAGGGTCTCTGCTGGGAGCTAAGCAGATGCATCTGTGTGTGCCCAATGGTGAAGTGATGGAGAAGGTCTAGGAGAACCAGTTCTTCCCGGGTATGGAATGAGCAATGCAGCGGCGGTCTCTTGGGTCCGTTGGTGTGTGGTTTCCCTCCTGCCTCGCAGCTGTTCAGCCATGATATCCTCTATTCATCTGTGTCTGCAAATAGGCAAGAAGGACATCCTGCTATGTGGGCTCAGAATAAAGGTCTCAGGGCAGAAGGAGCCCCAGGAAACTCTCTCCTCTGACTCCCACCTGTCCTGACAGAGTTACCTTTGGGATCCCACAGTTCAGAGTCCAGGCTTTGCTCAGGGGAAGTATCCTGACCCACTGCCTTCCTGGTGAGCAGTCCAGCTTAATTCAACCTTTCGTTTCATAAAAGAGATGGTCGTTCTTTTCTACGGCTTTATAGTACTCCATGGCAGACACACTTGAGCTCCTGTTTCTAGCTATTTGCTTGTTCTTTTGTTGTTGCTGTTGTTTGCTTTTTCCCTTTTCCTTTTGGTCCTCTTTTTGTTTCTCAGAGTGCCACAGAGAATTATCTTGTACGCAGGACACTTTGTGCTCAGACAGATGCCTCTGTGGTCTATTTTTGCGCCTCAGCTATGTGCTGTGAAGGAGCAGGTTTGACTTCTCAATTTCCAATCTGTTGCAGATGGATGCCTACCTATACAATTCAATGACAGTGAATCACTAGAGAAATGAGTTGAAAAAAAACACTCAAAATAGAAGTCTAAACGTCTTTATCTTTCCTCTTTGTTTTATGGTGCTGAGGCTGGGGCTCAGGGCCTTGCACACGAGAGCGAAGACTCTACCACTGAGCCACACTCCCAGACAGACATTTGATTATTAGAGTCAATGTCCATATAAGTCACTCAAATTACCATTTAGGATTTTAAACACTGACTTTCAAATGTCTGCATCTGTCTTACCACAGAGTTGTTGGTATGTGAGACTCAATGCTGGCCCATAGATCTCACTTTGTGGACCACTCCTATATTAGGTTAGTGGGTCAAGGGGTGTCTCAATTATAGTTTTATTGCTATGATAATACACCATGACCAAGAAGCAAGCTCGAGAGAAAAAGATTAACTCAGTTTACACTTCCACATCCCTTTTCATCATCCAAGAAGTCGGGACAGGAACTCAAATGGGGCAGGAACCTGGAGGCAGGAGCTGATGCAGAGGCCATGGAGGTGTGCTGCTTAATGGCTTACTCCTCAAGGTTTGCTCAGCCTGCTTTTTTTCAGAATGCAAAGCCACCAGCCCAGGAGTGACCCACCCACAATGGGCTGAGCCCTCCCACAATGATCACTAATTAAGAAAATGCTTTAAAGTTGGATCTCATAGAGGCATTTTCTCAACCAAGGCTCCTTCCTCTGTGATGAGTTTAGCTATTTAGCTTGTGTCAACTTGACAGACAACCAGCCAGTATGGAGGCACTCTTTCCAGAGTTAAAGAGGTTCCTCTCTAGAGGGGTTGTGCCATTTGACACACCCAGTGCAACAAGACAGGTGTATCGTTTCCTCATAGCCTCCTCACAAGGGAGAGCTGCCTGATTGGATCTCTGCTGACTGGGGAGAAACAATAGGCCAGGCTAAGTGTTAATCTGTATTGCTTTGAGGTCGTGAGAAATTCATTTAGATTTTAAGCCCTGTTTGGATTTATGTCCATTACCCATATATTTTTTTATATACTGGATTGTTGGTTATTTTCTTCTTGGCTCCTTGGAGGTCTTTGCACAGTTAGGATATTAGTGCCTTTGTCTGTAATTAGAGCCGCAAATATCTTCTGTCAAGTTTGTCATTTGCCCTGTGTGTATTCAAGTGTGTGCATTAACATTCATGTTTAAGGATGTGTGGAGAGGGCAGAGGTTGACCTTCGTGTCCTTTCTAAGGATCTGTCCACCGTGTCTTCTCAGACAGGGTTTCATTTGACCCAGAAGCTTCCACATTGATTGTGTTGGCTAAGCCAGGGATCTGCCTGTCTCTGTCCCCCAGAGAGAGGAATGCAAGCTCTCAACTTTATGTGGGCCTTGGGATCCACGGCAGGTCTTTAAGCTCCTCTTAAAAGACAAGGTCTCACTATGTAGCCAAAGCTGGCCACACATCTTCAGTCCTCCTGCTGTAGCCCCTTGGGATTGCAGATGCGCACCATCGTGACTGCCTTTTGTCAACCTTTCGGCCTTTCAGTAGTGTTATTAGTGGCAAGGGGTTTATGCTTTCACTCAGTGACGTCAAAATAGTCAAGACTTCCTTTGATGGAGTCTGAGTTTTGTTGTAGTTTTTCTCTCCAAGGTTTGAAGGGGAAACCTTCTGCTCAAATTTTCTTCACATGTTTTCATGACTTTACCCTTAACATTCAAATCTTGAATTCAATTTGAAATTTTCCTGGCTTAAAATGTGAGGTCCAAATCGGGCTTGCGTCTGGGCTTCGCTTTCTACCCGTGACTGCCCACTGCCCCAGTTCCACTTATTAAATGGATCCCACCTTTATCATTAAAGCTAATTTTAAAGCACTTGAAATCATAGTAGAAAAGACTCTATAATTTGTCAATTTTGTCCAGAACACCATTACAAGGGAAATTAGCTTTCAAGATATGATCTATAACTTTGCATTATGTGAGCAGAGTAACATAAATACATTATAAATTTACTTTTAAAAAAACCCATGGGGCCACTGACAACCTTGAGGACACAGAATGAAGTGGACATTTGGTGAGATTAACTTTTTCATTGCAGGTCTTCCCCGTGGCCTGCCTCCAGGAGCCGGGACTGCAGAGGGGCCCACCATGGTAGTCCTAGGACCTCTGGCTCTCTCACTGTTGCTGCCCAGTCTCACCCTGCTGGTGTCCCAACTCTCCAGTTCCCAGGACATTGCCAGTGAGTCCAGCAGTGAGCAGCAGCTGTGCACCCGGAGGGAGCACCCCATCGTGGCCTTTGAAGGTGAGAGGCACTCCATCCCCCTGTAGTCCTGAAGGACGTGAGACAGACCTTGGGAGTGCTGTCTGGGTTGTCTGAAGTCCTTCCAGGAGGTCCTGAGACTCTTCCTCTGGTAGCCATTTTATGACTAGGCATCAGTGGGCTGTAGACCTCTGACTTCTCCAGATGAAGTAGAGAACTTTACTTTAGCCCCACACCCACGCCCGTCCCAGAGCAGTTACTATCTTTCACCAGGATCTTTGGATGAACTATGAAGTTATAGATGTCCTGGTGGTGGGAGTGACTCAGATTTGGGTGGCCTCAGCTCTGGGGGTTCTCAAACCACAGGCTCCGTTCCTTGGCTTCTCTGGGGGCAGGAGGAGAGTGATGTCTCACTCCTAAGGAAGAGCCCAAGGAGCTGAAAAGCATCCTTCTTTCTCTAAGCTGAATGCAGGGATGCCTGTCTTTGGAGTCCTGGGAACCCCCAGCAGAAGGGGCCCTGGTGACTCATAACTCTTGCTTGTCAAGGAAGAGCGTGGGAGTGTCTTGTCCAAGGATTTCCCAATCTTGGATGTGAGTATCTCTGGATGTATTCCAGGGGGTCCGTGAGTTCCTCACAATTTCTAAAATTAGGACAGCCATTTGATGATAACCAAATGAAATAAATAAAACCCAAATCCTAAATTAGGCTGGATGCTCTCCCATGACGTTACCCCATCAGAGTGTCCCTGATCACACCCATTCTCTGGGAGCCAACTACATGGCAGTTCACACAGCAATTTGCAGATAAAATGCCAGGGTCCCCTGGCTTTGCTCTACTTTGTTTTGGGGGTTGTTTTGTTTTGTTAGACAAGGTTTCTCTGCATAACCCTGGCTATCTTGGAACTCACTCTAGGCTCAAATCACAGGGATCTGCCTGCCTCTGCCTCCTGAGTTCTGGGATTAAAGGTATACACCACCACTGCCCAGCTGGTCCCCTGGTTCTTAATACTGACCAACAGTCGCTTGGTCCTTCCTTGTCCTAACCCTGTGGGGGAGAGTGGGCAGGAAAACCCAGTCGTGGGGGCTGGAGAGTCTTGTCTGAGCCAGGCCTCCAGGTCAGTCTCCTGATGTGACGACCATTGAAGAGCTATCACAGGCTTAGCCTCGGAAGACCTGCCCTACCCTGTGGAGGAAGTAGTATGGAGACCCCAGTGGGAAAGCCAGTCACTAAGTCTGAGGCCGGGTGGGATTTAACAGGCAGGATGGGGCTTGTGGATGGGAGATGGAGGGTAATGAGAGAAGGGGCTGGGGGCGTTCTTGATGTACAGGTTCCCAGCTGTGGGCTGGTTCCCTTCTCTGAGAGGAAAGCTTCCAGCTGTCTTCTCCACGATGACTTGTTGGAGCCGGGATCCTGGCTTTGAAGGCTTAAGTGGATTATAGTAAATTAGCAATGTCTTCAGTGTACAAACGTGCGCACACGCTCAGACTTCTGATGGCTCCCACGGCTCGGAAGGGAAGAGCCGTGTGAGGGTGCGTGGGCTAAAGGGGCAGGGTGTCTAGGGCTGCTGGCACTCAGGAGACGTGTGACAACGCTTAATGGAACTTTTCCTCTCAGGGGCTTTGCCCCAGCGCAAAAGGTCCAGTTGACTCAGAGGGAGCCTGCCTCCACCCCCTTGTCAGGCTGTTCTCTATGGGACTCTGAGCTGAAAGGGATAGGGGATAGGAAATGTGGAGTTGGGTCCTGAGTTTTTGGGTTTCCAGAGGGCATTTTTAATCATCAGGTGTGAATTGAACGCACTTGACTGTCCACCCCACCTTCTTACAGAGCCAGGGACTCCATCCCCCATCCTGACAGCTTTGGGTTGTTATATCCATTCACAAAATTATTAGATATGAGAGAGAGAGAGAGAGAGAGAGAGAGAGAGAGAGAGAGAGAGAGAGCGCATGTGTGTGTCTGTGTGTGTGTCTGTGTGTGTGTGTATGTGTGTGTGCTTGCATGCATTTGTATGTATGTTTTCCTGGGAACTGGGGCCAGGGACTCATGCATGGAGGTTCACCATATTTTAATGGCCCTGCTTGGTGCTAGGCACAGAGCAGTTGCTATGGGGTCACAGAAGCAAGCATGTGCTTCTTTTGGACACTTAGCTATTTCCTATTATTCCTCAGAGGTTAGTGCCTCTGTCCCAGCAGCCCAGCCGATCCCATATCAGCTCTCTTCCTGGGTCTCCTCTCATCTGTAGTATGCTAAGCACATAGTAGGTCCCATGGGCGAAGAGCTGTTCCAGGGAAGTCATACTAATCCAGCTCAGCATCAACCACTCCCAAGACCCCCAGACCTTGTGCTGCACAAGTGACCCTCAGGCCCCTCACCTGCAGCTGTGTGTGCTGCACAAGTGACCCTCAGGCCCCTCACCTGCAGCTGTGTTGCTGCACAAGTGACCCACAGGCCCCTCACCTGCAGCTGTGAGCCGCCTTTTCCCCAGACACCTGACAGATCTGTGAACAGCCCCCAAGCAACCACAAGCATGGGGCAGTCACAGAAACAGACTGGCAGCTTCTTGTTTTATAAGGCTTCATTTCCTCCTGTGGGTTCCTTTTAAGCAGGCCCACCTGGGTCTCTCTTTGGCCCGCGTATTACTCTATTTGCCACAGCACGCCCTTTCTAGGTGGCAGGGAGAAGCCAGCCTGGAGTTAACACTGGCAGTGGTTAATCCACAAAGTGGGTAATTGAATTGACTATAATTAAAATCACAGACGCATCACAGAGAATGTCATTTTTCTCTTAAAGTCGCCGTCCAAAACCTTCACTGCACACCGAGCTCAGAACGTGCTTGGTGTTTTAAAGACAGCTTTCCCTCTGGTCCCCTTTGCCTGTTTAATAAGGAGGTGGCTGGCTCTTTTCCCAAGGCCTCCCCAGGATCCCCAGGATGGCGGCACCGTGCCCAGCCATGTCCCCTCCACTTGACTGTGTGAGTTCCTTTAGGGCTAGGGGAGAGGGACAGCAACTGGAAGAGGCCCCCACCCACCTCCACCTCGGGATGGTTATCCCAGCCTAGACTATTTCCTTCTATCTTCTCCCCACTGAGAATGGGCCTAGATGAGGACTGACAGTTCTCAGACAATATCTGCAGTCATACCAACACCTTCCTATCTTGCTGCCTTTACCTGAAATGCCCCTGACCATATGGGAGTTAAAGGGCAACCTGTTCGCTTCCGTTAGGGATCATCTGGTCTGAGGAGGCCCACACACCCAATGCAGAGTGACAGTAAAATACAACAGGAATCGAACAGGGAGGGTGGAGAGGATGTAGAGACATTCTAATCAAGGAGGTCTTCCTGGAGGAAATGAGCACTCCATTTAATCTCTACTACAATTTCCTGTGGCTCAGCTGAAAACTAGCCCACTGGACTTCAGACTCGACTCCTTACTCTGCCCAGATGCCACTGAGGTTGTGACATTTCTTGCTAACCTATAGCCACCTGCTGGGGCCTTAGCAGTTTGCTTCACTTTGCTGCAGAATGTCTTCCTTATTTATTTAATTACTTTTTATTTATTTTTTAATTTATCATGCATATCACAGTTTTCTGAAAAACATCCAACTTGCAAAACCTCCCGTTCTCCTGGGAGTGATTAAGCGTTTGCCTGTCGTGCAGAAATGAAGGGAGGCTTTTACTCTGTAGTGGAGGGATAATGAGCAATGATTTCTATCCCTTGGATTACACACACAGACACACACACACAGACACACACAACACAGAGACTCACAGACACACACATACACACACATACACACACACACATTCACACAGACACACACAGAGACACATACACATACACACAGATACACAGACGCACACACAGACACACACACATACATACGCACACACATACACACACAGAGACACACACAGACACTCACATACACACACACACAGACACACACACAGACATTCACATACAGACACACACAGAGACGCACTCATACACACAGAGACACACACACACAGAGACACACACACATACATACGCACACACATACACACACAGAGACACACACAGACATTCACATACACACAGACACACACACAGACATTCACATACAGACACACACACAGACACACACAGAGACACACACATACAAACACAGACACACATACACACACACACACATGCGTGCGCACACACACACATGCACACACACACACACACACACACACTGATCTGAACCCTGGGTGGCAGTTGCTCACAGTGAGTAGAAAGCACGAGGTCAGCTGAAAATCCTCAGCCTCCTGGCTCCTCACTGGTTCCAGTCCGGCTACCCCTAGCACTGGCAAGCAAGAAGGAAGTTCAGGTACTGTGGATCAACCTGGGAGAAATGGGTCTTCAGTAGAGGGACTGGGGAAAAGTCAGTGAGACCATCATCAGAACGTGAGGTCTGTTCTTTGCCCACCCAGTCCCTGTTAAAGGCTTTGGCTTTGACTAGGAAGCACTTTCTCAAAGATAGGGGTAGACACAGACCACCCAGCCTCTGCCCCTCCCTACCCCATGGGATCTTATTAGAAAGCCTGACCATCCTCCTAGGAGAGGAGTTGAGGGTTGTTCATTCAAACACTGCTACACAGGTGGGGCCCGAGGGTTCTGGCAGCGAGGTCTTACCTAGACCCAGCGCAAACCACCAGGCTGAACACACACCACAGTGGAATAATGATGTCTGTCAGGCAGTGAAAGCCTGTGGGGTCGCTTCAGTCCTGCTGGGTGGAGTCACGGAAGTCTTAGAAGAGGTGGGGGCGTATCGCAGGGTACAAAGTTTTGTGGGCCCATGGAACGGACTGGGGAGGTATGCAACATTTTAGATAAGTATGCCTGAGGAGAAGAGTTTGGACACATTTCAACTCGTCATTAAATAAATAAATATTGAATGTCAGGTGATTAGCTGGGGGTCAGGGGGCCAGGACCCAAAGGTCACAGGAGCTGAGGCATGCGGGGGTTGTTGGGAAGGGATCTAAACCTGAGACTGGCATAGCTACCCGTGAGTTCCAGAACTATCACTCGGGTTGCCTTTTGGGAAGTAAACCCACAGCTATGGGAGACAGGCCAGTTAGGATCAGAGACTATCAGCTCCAGTCTAGGCAAAAAAGGACAATGCTTGGGTCAGGGTGAGGTCTGGGGGAGAGCAGCTAGTAGAGCCTGGGGTCTGGAGGGAACGCATACCGGAGGTTCACTGAAGTAGCTGCCTCAGTCTCTGCAAGAATCAAGGGTGATGATAGGCTTTCCTTTGTGCAGGGCAGAGTCCTCTCCCAGAGGCAGTAACAATACTCTAACAGAGGTGGGCAGGTGGAACCCAGGTTTCCTGGGGGCTTCAGCTCTATACTCCACCTCAGCCAGTGTGCTCTTCTCTGGTGTGATGCCGCTGACCTTGGAAACACGGTCCAACGGTAACAGAAGTGTCTCTCCCTGTCTCTGCCAGATCTGAAGCCGTGGGTCTCTAACTTCACCTACCCTGGAGTCCGGGACTTCTCCCAGCTTGCTCTCGATCCCTCCAGGAACCAGCTCATCGTGGGAGCCAGGTAATGGGGTAACAAGAGAGTCGGGGAAGAGAGTGGGGGCACTGGAGTTGGGCAGAAGGGGTACTGTTGGGATGCGTATACTCACTGACTTCCTGAGTCCCTGTCCTCCGTGCCAGGCCCTGTCTGTACGGACTGTCCATCAAGTAGGGAACTTGTGGGAGTTGGGGAAAGGGGATGACCCCAGACCACACAATCTCAGCTAGATTCATTCATCAAATCTTGTTAGGGTATTAAGAGCAAAGAAGCCTGCTTCCATCTTCTGCCCTCTCTGCCCTGATGCCAGGACCAGCCCAGTTAGAGGTGCCCAGGCGCCCCCTGCTGGCAAGCTGCACCAAGGGTGCCCATAGACCATATGTTTCTTTTGTAAAGGGCCTCGTTTTCTGTAGCCTGCCCACCTTTGTCCCTACTGTCCAAATCAGGATTCAGAAGCTAAACCTTTCTAGGGAGGCCTCATCTTCCAGGCTTCCGGGTGGAGTGGGAGGAGCTAGCTATCACAAATCAATCATTACCAGCTTTGGAAGCAAGGAGCCTTGAGATGAGGCAGGGGGTCCCTGGGCCAGCATCCCCCACAGCTCCTGGGAACTTGCTGAAAAGTGATACTTGAGCCTCTTTGAGTAAGAAACTCTAAGTATAGGCCTAACCTTGCTTCAACAAGGCCTCCCGTGCCTGGTGCCCAAGCTTGAAAACAGTCCGACCCAACACACACAAAAAGATGCTAGCTTGGGACTAGAACTTGGGCCTCCTGACCCCGGTGGTCTGCGTTAGGACACTGAACACTAAGGACCTGGATCAGCTTGTGTAGGTAGGAGGGACACTTCCAGGCGACCTTGTGTAACTGGCCATTCCTGCCCTCTGGTTCTTCCACTTTTGTTTGCTGTATGAAAGGTGGAGGGGAGTTACCCACAAAGGTCTGCAGGCAGCTGAGCTGGATAAACTTGGAGTCTCAGTTTCCTCTTCTATGACCACCTCCCTGGGATGCCAGGGCAGAAAGCATTTAACATCGCTTTGAAGTGATCATTTTATAGCAGCATTGCATGTGGTACAGTGTGACGTTACCAAAGAATATTCAGTGAGAGCAAAGGACACGCCCTCACAAGCAGGAGTCTCTAGGTGCTCCTGGCGTTCCCTGAGAGGCGACCTGCACACATGCAGGCAGACCCGACTATGGCTTTTCTTTCCTAGTAAAGCGAACGCTTGTTTTGCTTTGTGTTTTGAGACGGTTCCTCACTCACACACAGCTAAGAGAAGAAATCAGAGAGATCCTACATCCCCTGCTCCTGGGTCCTGCCAGTGGCGACGTCATGCATAACTATAGTGCAGCAATGTAATCTAGAAACTGATATTTCTTCTATCTTTCTCCTGGCTAAGGTTTTACCAGCCGGCACTTTGAGCTGAGTATGTAGACTCACCTCTGGAATCTTAGCGTTAGGGAGGCTGAGGCAGAAGGATCACCTTGAGTTCAAGACAAGCCCAGGCTACATAGTGAGGCCTCATCTCCAAGAATTGAAAACAAACAAACCCAGAATCATACATATACACCTTTTATACCCAAAGATTGGCATTCTAAGACTGTGCTCTGAAATTCAAGAAAACACGACCACCACATGCATTATTTTACGTGGCATCTGTGTAATAAGTTAGATAACACATGTCGGCCATCACACAACAGATAATTCAGTAAATGTAGTAAGCCACGCATGCAGAAAATGATCCAGGCTTCACTGTCGGCCCGGAAGGAGGCTCTGATCACTCCCCTATAGGTGAAACAGAGAGGTTGTCACCTGCCTGTGGTCACACTGCCTCACCAGATCCACTTTGGGTCTCCATACAAAAGGTGGTTACGTCTTCTTTCTGCAGCTTCTCGTGGACCTTTGAGCCTAGCTCTGCCTTCACACAGAGAAGAAAGAATTCTCTCCTGGATTGGTCCCTTCTGCTCCTAGAGGCTGTGTCCTGAATCCTGGGCCTTTTCTGACGGCCCACCCTAGTTTTTTTTCTGAGTGCTTTTCTTTCTCCTCTGTCTGAGTTTTCTTTCCCTCTCTCCCTGACACCCCTGGACCTCTGGAATTCAGTCTGGGAAATGTTTTTATCCATTTATAGCCTGCCTTATTCCCTATGGGACTAAGAGCCGGGAGGGATGCTGAGATTTCCCACCCTCATTTCCCAGCTCCCCTAAGAGCCGACTGAGATGTTATGATGGATGATTTTTGATGGGATAAAAATGAATCGAGTGATGTGTTGTTTCCCTTAATTTGTTAAAGCTGTGAGCAGATGCCTGTGTTACCTGAGCATGCAGCTGGAGCAGAGCCAGAAGCTGGAGCCCATCTGTCCCTGGGCCAGCAGTATGGAGGCCAGGAAGCTCTGCCAAGGATCTAGAGAGGGGTCTGGGGAGGGGCAGCAGAGGCTTGCAGCCAAGGTCATGGGCAAGGCCGCCCCACCCTAGGCCAGAAGAGAAGCTGCGCTCAGCGTCTCCTGGGCCAGCAGCCAAATCATGGAGAGGAATCTCCCAGCTTAAAGTGTCTTGTTCCCAACCCTGGCTTCCTTCAGCAGGGCCCCTCCTTCCCTTTCTGGCCCAGTCTCTCCTCGTTTCTTCTCAGCAGAGCTGAGGTGGCCAGAACTTCCTAGATTAATTATTCCTAAAAAGCCCAGGAACCTGAAGAGGGATGGCCAAAGGCAGATAGAAGCAGCAAAGAGGATTGTTGGGGAAAACCAAGCTACATCTGCTTGTCGTTAATAAAACCTTTAAATGTGTCTCCGAGGGACCATGAAGAAGTCAGGCATGAACTATTTCCCCATTTCACAGATATAGACACCGAGGCCCACCAGGCCCCAGCAGACGGTAGAGTTGGGAATCCTACCTCTCTCAGCTACAGTCTATTCTCTAAATCTGAACTCTGTTCTGCTACACTCTGACCAAGTGGGTATACTGCCCCCATGACCCCCAGGTTCTAAGTCTTGACCATCTGACTGCAGAGTTAAAGCACCATAGGATTAGTGGTGATGCTGAATTCTTGATGAGTGTCTGATGGTCTTATCATCATCATCATCATCATCATCATCATTATCATCATCATCATCATCATCACAATTAAGGCTTGTGAGCCAGCGGCTGTTACATGGAAGCACTGTGCTGGGTATGCTGGGGAGACAGTGGTCCAGGGAGAGACTGTGGAAAAGGCAAATTCAGAGTCATTGGCTAGAGATGAGGCTGTACACAGGACCCCAGGGCTTATATGGGAGGCTCGTCTGTACCCCTGCAAAAGGCCTTGCATTTTCAGATGGGCAGAAACAAGCCCCATGGTTAGGAAAGGTGAGCTCACAAACTAAACAAAGCCATTTAGTTTGCAGATGTTAACTGACTTTATCTTGATTCTAGAATCTGGTGGACTTAGCCAAAGAGGTTGGCTTTATAGACAGAGAAGGGAAAGGGTTAATAGTGGAAACAATACAAAGCAGACCAGCCATTTCAAAATTGCCTTCCCTGTAAAGTGGACACAGGGAGATAAAAAAAATACAAGAATAGCTGTGAGACTATCATGGGGTAAGACTTGAGGCAGAGAGCACTTCGCTGTCATGGCAGCCGAGACATGGAATGTTTTTCTGAAATTTTGCTGTAAGGATAAGCATTTGGCATGAGCATAGGTGACTCCATTTTGATTCTACAGTTTGGCCCGTTGGGGCCCATTATGAGAACTTAGTCCAAAACAGTGGCATCCTGTTAGTTTTATTTAACAGTGGATTCAGGTAGTTCTTTCCTGGCTTGCTGGATCAGCCAGGAGCAGATACAGCGTGTAGTCTGCAGGTTAACCCCGTCTCTGGCTTACTGGCTCGGCGACTTGGGCCATTACACAACTCGCCTCCTATAAAATGGATATAGTTCAAATATGAACCTCCATGTGAGTGTGGTTTGCACCCCACTTCCACAATCCTGCCCGTGGTGGCCTTGATGGTGTCCAAATGGGACATTGCAGCAGCAAGCAGTTAGGGAAGCTGAGACCCCCTTGATAAGCTAGTTAGACCTTTTGGTCTTCTTACGTCCTTCCTGGCCCACACCCTCAGTGACTATTTGGTGGCTATAGAGACTGCCAGGTTGGGCTTGGCTCACCCCAAAGTTCTGCAGAGGCCTAGGCTGGTTGCCTTCCAGGGTTCTGCCTACAGAATCAGAGTGACTTGTGATCTGTCCTGTTTTCACAGGAACTACCTCTTCAGACTCAGCCTTGCCAACGTTTCCCTCCTTCAGGTATGTTTGCTTTCTTTCCTTCCTGTACCTTTTCTGCATCTGGAAGCTGAGCAGTATAAGTAGCAGCCATGCCCAAGAATCAACTGCAGGAGCCTCTGTTCTTTTCCTGGTCATGGTACTAAAACCCTGCTATCAAAGCCACCTCTGGAAGGATATGTGGAAGACAGCTTTGCCAAGATGCAGAGTTTTCAGGGCTAAAAATGGGACTCTACATGGCAAATGGGGCCAGTGAGTCACCCTAAGCACAAAGCCAAAGTCCACAGGAGAGTTCCAGAGTTTGGGCCCCAAGGGAAATGGTGTCTCTGGCTCTTTTCTTTGCTTGGCCTGAGAGATCCTGGTCTATCTCGGCATTTTCATTGAGCTGTGATTGATTTATTATCTGCTGCCAAGAGAGGCTCCCCAAGCATAATTCCCTAAGTGCTCCGAGAGGCTTTTTAATGGGACTCCTTGATCCAGAACAGTTATCCCAGATTGAGAAACAGATGCCAAACTATCTCTGCTGAAGCCGAACATTATAGAGAAGGACAACCATTCTTCTTCAATGAGGGGAGAGCTTCCATCGTCCTGTCCGGGAGCTGTCTTAACTATCCAGCATTCGTCTGGGCACTTACTGAATACCAGCACTGGTCTGGGAGCTTGAGGGTATTAGAAAAGCGGGGTCTTTGACTTCAGGGAAAGATGATGATAGATCCAAAGAATCCTGTTAGAGCTCGGACGTTAATCAAGTGCTGGTCTGTGTATCGTGGGATTTTGCAGCAGCAAGCAGTTAGGGAAGGTGGGACAGTCTTGATAAGCTAGTTTGACCTTCTGGTCTCCTTGCATCCAGTCTGGCCCACACCCTCAGTGACTATTGTACCTCTTGGCTGGATACCAGAGGAAATATCTAAGGGCATAAAGGGTGTGCCTGTTAAAAAGAAGGGGTCAGAGGAACTATGGGAAGTTGAAAGGAAATGCCATGAACCCATGAATGTATACTTTTTCCCCAAGCCAATCTGCTCTTCCGATGCTGATAGACATGCAGTGACTATCCTCTAATGACCAGGTCTAGGCCTATGTATATATACTATGGCTTGAAGGTGAAACATCTCACATGGGCTCACGGGTTTTAACACGTGATGCCCGATTGGCAGCACTGTCTTGGGAGGTTATGGAACCTTTAAGGCAGTGGTCCTCAGCCTTCCTAACGCTGTGTGTGACCCTTCAATACAGTTCCTCATGCGGTGATGACTCCCAGCCATAAAGTTATTCTTGTTGCTACTTCGCACCTGCAATGTTGCTACTGTTATGAATCGTAATGTAAATATCTGATATGTGGGATATTTGATAAGTGTGAAGGGGTTGTTCAATTCCAAAGGGGTCACGACCTACACGTTGAGAACCAATGTCTTAGGCCATGGAGTCTACTTGATAGATACAGATCACTGTGGCCTTGAAAGATAAAGCCCAAATCCTGATTCTGGTCCCATCTCTGTTTCCTGATCCATCAAGATGTGAGAAGCCTCAGACATAGCTCCAGCCTCCAAGTACTCTGTGTGCCTTCCCCACCACAGTGGACTGTACAGCTTCTGGTAATAGATCAGGAGCCACATAAATCCTTCTCCCCTTAAGTTGCTTCTGCCAGGTATATGATCACAGTGATGAGCGGTTACTACAATGTGGTGCTTGGCATTTATGCTTTAAAGGGGAGGCCCATTTCTTTGCCCAGAGGACCAGGCACATAAAAGATGGTGTAGGATTTCTTTTCCTGCACAGGGACCACGTGGCATATCTCTACAGCCCAGGCTTAAGCAAGGTATGCAAGGTTCTCAGAGTCAGCAGTCCAGTGCTCACAAGCTGCCAGCCAGTCTTAACTTCTAATTGGCATCCACAGGAGACCAAGCCAATGTGCCAAACCTGACAGGTCAGAACATGGGGGAGCCAGCCCAGAGGTTCAAAAACAAGTGTAAGGCAGTTGATCCAGGGACCTACCCTGAGCCCCCAGCAGTTGCTTTTCATTTGGTTTCCTGTGGTCTGCAAATGAAGGTCGTGTGGCACTGAAGAACTGTGAGCAGGGGGAGTGGGTGGCGGAGAAGCAGGAGTGGCCTGGAGGCAGGAGGCACCCTCCAGGGCCCAGCAGGGTCTACAAAGCCATTGAGAGGCGTTGGCCTTTCTTTGAGCTGGAGCTCAAAGGCTGTGTTTGCAAAAAGAAGAACAGAGGAATGAGATATCACACAGCCCTGAGGGGTGGAACAAAGGGTAGGAGGTAAGAGGTGAGGCCCTCGGAGAGAGGGGGGTCTTCATTGATGACCTTGGGTGGGGGGAGTGCTATCCACATCTTATTTGGAAGGCAGTGGAGATCCATTAATGAGTTTTAAACAGAGAAGTAACATGAATAGACTTGTCATTTAGGTCACTTGGCCCAGACCAGGGACTGAAGTCAGGGAGGAAGCAGTCAGGGGACAATCGTGATTGTCCAGCTGAGAGATAAAGGGGATGGCAGCAGGCAATAGAAGAGGAATGGAGGCCAGGAAGGGAATCCAAAGGTAGCAGGGTCACACGGGGCTATGACTTCACATTACCTGAGGATCATTAGGAAAACTGACTTCTAGATACAGGTGACCCTTAGAAGAGTTAGTCATGCTTGGACCACATGGGTGTGACATCTAGTTTCTGGCTTAAACAACTGGTTCCCATAAATCAGGATGGAAGTGGAGCTGCCTCTAGACTACTGGCTCCCTTGAATGTGTCCTGGAACTGCTAGGGGACCTTTGATAGACGCTGGTGCCTAAAAGATTCTCACTTGATTGCTCTGGGGTACAGTTGGACACTGGGCTCCCACGTGATTGTGATGGGCAGTTAAATTTAGGGACCACTGCTGTAGAATGTGAAGAAAACTTCATCTGGGGTGCTGCCCTGCCGACTTGACATCCCCTGACATCCTCACTAGCTAGTCTGCAGGATGTAAGCCACGCATCTTTTTTGATGTTCATACTACCTAATGACTAAGGCCTGGGGTTTGGTTCACCCAGTTCAGTGTTGATGTGGTCTTAGGACAGACAGGCACCAGCTTCAGCGGGGTTCTCTAACGTACTCTCAAACCAACTCCAAGAGTACCCACAACCCATTGTCACTAGCATGCCTCCTAGGGGTTTCACCTTAAAATTCAGGCTGTGTTCTCCCTGCAGAACCAAGGAGGGAATCTTAGTACATTTTGTGTCATTGTTCATTACTGTAGTCACTGTCTGGCCACAAAGGTGAGCAGGAAGTGACAGGTTGGGGCAGACCGTCCAGTGCCTCTCAGTAAAGCTGGTGGCAGAGCTGGGTCTCTGCTCTGCTGTCTGGCCTGAGCAGAAACCCTTGGCTTTGGCTAGAAGTACCCACTTCGTCATGTGACCTGTCACACTCTTGCCATAGTCCTAGGTGTTGTCTATGGCAAGCTTCTCGGCAGCATCCAAAGGCCGAAGATGAGCTGTACAATTACACTGACAGGAGAGGAGACACTAAGCTGTCCACTGGGCCCCAGGGTGTGATTTAAGTCAATTTAAACCTCAGTGTTTTATTGATACTTTAAATAATTGACATCTGTTTAAAAGGAAATCTAAATGCAAACAGTTTATGCAAACCAGTGTCCATTAAAGGGACCTCTAAGAACCTAAGCCCTATTAACCAGTTAATGTAAGTGACTATTCCTTAAGGAGAATTGAAATCCCCAGCAACTTCCCTATAGCCAAGAGCTACAGCGGGGGAGCAGGTGTGTGCATGTGCAACTGTGCATGGTGTACACATGTGTGTGTGTGTGTGTGTGTGTGTGCATGTACCTGTGTGTGTATAGAGGTAGTGGGGGCAGGGCTTGCAGAGATGAGTGTCTGAAGATAATCAAGTTGGTTCAGCTGCTACAGTTATCAGCATAACTCAGCTAGTGGTCGTAGGGATCTTCAAAAAGTGCTATGCAGTCTGCCATGCTTGGGGTTGGGAGGCCAGCATGAAGCTGGTTTGACTTTGGCAAGTGGGCACTCATAAACAACCTTTGTCAGTACAGTTCCAGGGCATAATTGCTAGAGTATTATGATCTTGGGTTTCCAGAAGGCTTGTAAGCACAGAAATGATTGTGTTGGCATACATGCACATCAAAACATGGAATGGGGCTTTTGGAGAGGGTCTGGGCAGACAGTGGGGTGGTCTTCCTTCTCTTCTAGCCTACCTCACATCCTCCATGCTTGGATCCAGGAGCCTGGAGCTGTTGGTAGTTTAGACTCTGCTCAGTGGTGAACTCAGTGCTGATGCCAAATGGTCTTCTATGGTGCTGATGCTAAATGGTCCTCTATGGTGCTGATGCTAAGTGGTCTTCTATGGTGCTGATGCTAAGTGGTCCTTTATGGTGCTGATGTTAAATGGTCCTCTATGGTGCTGATGCTAAATGATCTTCTATGGTGCTGATGCTAAGTGGTCCTCTATGGTGCTGATGCTAAATGGTCCTCTATGGTGCTGATGCTAAATGGTCATTATGAAAACCTCTGATGTGTTTACGGGGCCACCATGTCCACACAGACAGTTCCATTCATATCCTGACAGCTTGCCTGCTCTTTCTCATAGCACAGAAACCACACAGCTATGCCATTACCTGAGTTCATCACTCAGGAATTTCTGGGGCAGTCTAAGTAGAAGGCATTCACCATGCCTCTGACAGCACAGAGCATGCCTATCTCCTTTACTGAGGCCCAGCGAAGGCATGCAGGAAGTTGTAATAGGTACACATCCACACAGCAGAGATGTTGAGCAGAAACACGTCAGTGGAGAAGAAGTCCCATCTTTCTGGGAGATGGAAGTAGATAGAAGGATCATCCTGACTTAACAGAGGTGAATAACTTACATAGTGGGGTGTGCCAGGAAAGCAAGCGGAGTCTCCAGACAAACTTCACACTTGAGGTGCTGGGTATTTTAGAATAAAGAAAGCTAGAACAGGACTCTGATTAAAACGCTCTAAATGGAGAGTCTGGAACTCAGGTCTCCTCATCGCCCTC